GCCTCTCTGAGCCACCTCACATCTCCGCACCCCTCTTCCCATCTCCGCAACTCCGCCCCTCCTACCTGTCTGGATGAATGTGGCTTCTTTAAATTTTTGGATGTCGTACTTCCATACAGCTAGATTTTCTGGCGGTTCAGGGTATTATTTGTTTTGATATCTAATTGTAATTCTTTCTACGGTTGTACGAGGAGGTGAAGCATGTCTACCTATGCCTCCATCTTGACCAGAAGTCCCAGAAGTAACTTTTTGGTACCTATTGTATCTATAGGGCAGTGTAAACAACTAAGTACTGAACGTCTGCTCTTCTTATCCTACAAATGAATTTTTTCCTCTTTGAAGTTCCAAGGCACCTTATCTTACCCTTAGCTTGGGATGTCATATGTACTTCATTTGCTCTTTCTCTGAGTGTCTTATGTATGTGGGACCTCTGACTTTCTCCTGTATGTGGGGTTCCTGTACACACAAATATGATTAAATTTGGCTATGTTCTAATCTGTCTCACGTAGATCTAATTATTAGGCCAGTCAGAAGAACTTAGAAGGTTAGAGTGGGATTGCTCCCCCCCCCCCCCCCCCCCCACAGCTCCATTTACCAAGGGAGAGGTGCTGGGTCTGTTTTTCTGGAGCAGGCTTTTGGTGGTCTGGGGTGGGCTTAGAGACGCCTGAGAGGCACAGCGCCTTACTCCCATTTTTCAAGGAATGATGGATTCTTCCCATTTTGCAGCTGCGTGTCTTTCCCACTGACATGGGAGTTTGACTCCTTTCTCTGCTGCCAGGGAACGTGGTTCCCAAGTGAGAACAGGTGTTGGGCCAGCAGCGGGGATAAGAGAAGAACCAGCCCTGTGCTGGGTCCGACGGCATGGCCTTGGGGTGGAGAGAGCCAACGCACAGCTGCTGCGTGACCTCGGCTTGCCGGAGGTCAGCTCGTCAACAGAGCAGCGCCTGAGCTTTCAGGTGGGGAAACTGAGACTTGTCCAGAAGCCATGTCTGTGTGTCTTCTCAGTCACTCACCCAGCACGGTGGCCTGTGTTAGCACTGCCCACGCATGGGCACGCACATCCTGCTGTCAGCATTTCAGCTGCTACCCCTGCAGACTCTGGAATGTGCCGTGCAGCAGCGTGTGGGCATCAGAGCGTGTCTCTGCCCAGCCGCATGCAGCACACGAAGAGAAGGTGTTGGGTGGAGATGCCAGGTGTGTCCGAACTGCAGGTACGAAGAAGGATCAGGGGTCCCTGACCTAATGGGCCACTGCTCCAGTTCAGTCACTTGTTATCAGAGAGCTGGAGGGAGTGTGGGCGGCTCAGGACAAAGGAGTGACCGCTACCTGGGACGCACCTCAGTCGCAGCAGAGGGTGGGATGTCTGAATGTTACCCAGCACATCCTAAGCAAGGTGGGGCGCCAGGGGCTCCAGGGAGATGCTGGTTCAGGGGAGCACGGGCTACTTTAACCAAGGCCACTTCATGCCCACTCCTTTCCATCTTCATGACTGGCAAATACTTGCGTGTGTAATTTTACTAAAGATTCATTGAAAAACGCAACTTGATGCCTCCCCTGGCCATTGGGGATCGTAGAGTTGTTCAAACCCCCCCCCCCCCCCCCCCCCGCTTGCCAGGCTTCTCATCCAGGTGTTTTGGGCCAAGGACCAGATTTAGAATGGGAATTGCTCGCAGTTCTAGGATTTTCAAATGGTCCTGTGTCAGAAACTGCTTGGGAGAGTTAAATGTGTCATCTGCAAGGGGGAGAAGATGCTCAGGCAGTGCTTGTAGAAAAGGCAAACTTTTCATACTTAGATGACATAGCAGCTGTTAACAGGTTAGGCCACGCACTGCAGGTGTCCCCGGGAACTGCTCTGCCCGTGTGAACATGATGTAGTCACGTTGAGAAAAATTTAAATTAGGCTCAGTTTTGTTCCAGAAATCCTGCATGTGTAAATCTATTCCACATAAACAGAAGTAACAGACTGCAAGGTTGTATGAACAAGGATGTTTATTGTTTGCAGCAGTGACAAACAGGCACAACCTGAAGGTCCAACTAGAAAACGATTCAATTAAAAGGGTCCATCTGTACTGTGGAATATTATGCAACAGTGTAAAAAGACAGGTGAGCTGACTAGTTAGCTCGCTGTTGAACTGGAGAGAGGTTCAGGATGCAGTGGTAAGTTACAGAGGCAAGTTGCAGAGAAACGAATGTGACATGTATGATTGTGTATTTTTAAAAGAAGTAATCAAACAAAAACCTCTGATATAGCTGAACACAATGAAAGTGCAGAGAAGGAAGGAAGGAGGGGTATGAGTTGAGGGTGGTAGAGGGGAGGCAAGAACACAAAAATCATAGGAAAAATGAAGAAAGCATGCAATAAGGTTGAGAAAAAATTTGGAATATAAATGCTCACTTATATAATCATTGCAAATATGTACATTTATATATGCAAATGGCTAAAGGCTGGAAGGCTATAGGAAAAACTAAAAACACCGATTTAATCAGATGCTAGGATTGGGGGCAATGTTTTGTTTGGATTTCTGTGTGATTTTAATGTCACAATAAGGTTTAAAATAAAAATCAACCCTCAGGAAGAACAAGCAAGTGGTGGTTGGTGAGATTATTTACATTTCAAAGGACTCTACCAGGGATAATTCAGAAGCTCCTCACGACGTCTTGTAGAGCAGGTGCTTGGCTTGCCTGTGCTGAAATGCAAAACCAGACTCATGCAGACTTGACTCGTCCTCATGATTCATAAATGTGAGCAAGGATGTTCGAGCACATACAGTCTCGATTAAAAGCCCCATAAATAAGATTCGCATCTGAGTCACCGTGCACGAAATCACTTCACGCCCTACTTGAATCTGGTTTCTGGAACTCTTAAAGAAATGAGGAAAGGACAAGCCATTTTGGAAAATGTACTACATTGTGGACTAAGTGTTTTCATAGCAGAAGCGAAGTCATTTTGCTTATGTGGCTGTGTGTGCCCTTGTAATTAAACTCAGAAGAGCCGGGACCTGAAATTTCCACATCAGTGTAAAAGTATTTGTTCTTTCTGTCTGCATTGCTCTCGTTACTAAGAAAATAAAAATTAAAAATTGACATGTAAGAAATAACCCCCATGGGATCTGTACTTGAACTTGATTCTGTGAAAGAATTCAACAGGGCCCTGGAAGCCGGCGTGGAGAGAGGGGCTGGTGGCCTGAGAACTGAGACCACGGGGTGGGGGAGGGGGCGGGGAGGTGGGACGTCCTCTGCGCTGTTTCAGTGCGGGCGGGGTCTGCCCGTGGACCCAGGGACAGGCTGCTCCCCTGGGCGGCCCCGCCCCCAGGTCCTCCACCCTCTTTCTACGTTAAAATCTTCCAAATGTATCCTTGAGAAGAACACTGATAACGATGGAGGCTCGGAACAAGAGGTACCACTATCAACATCGATGTTTTGAAAGACTTCAGATAAAGTGTCTGACAAGGCACTTTCTATCACAGACTCTTTTTATTGATAAGAGAATTGATAATCGTCAGCAGTGGTTATTTCCAAATACCGTTCAACAACCCCCAGGAATCTCTAGGTTACCGAAGAGCGCCCGTGGGGCATCTTAGAGCATTAGATCCGTTATTTTTATTTAAATGTACTTATACTGTATAATACTTGCTTTTAACTACAATGAACAAATAATGTTTTTGAAATGTATATTTTAAACACTAATAAACAGATAAGAAGTGGTGTATCAGTTCCTGCTTATGGTACGGATGAATTATTATTTTAGTCTTCAATTACAGTTCACACTCAACATGACTTCGTATTAGTTTCAGGTGCACAGCATCGTGGTAAGACAATAGTGGGCTTTAGGAAGTGGTCCCCCCAGTAGCTCAAGGGCCCGCCCTGCACCGTGACCGGCCACGCCAACATCACTGACCGTAGTCCCGGTGCTGTTCGGCCTGGAGGGAGGGTTAATTAGACCTCCCTAAAGACAGTTTCTTTTTGGCCAGGAGGAACTATTTCTTTGTAGTGGTAGGCAGTTCACAAGAATGATGGCCTGTCCCCCAAGTGGTGGTCAAAACACTGCTGGAGAAGTGCGGGGTCTGGGTAAGGGAAGCGCATGTGAAAAATGCTGGCGCGCATGTGCCTACAGACCCGCCCAGGGAGTGAGGGGGCATCAGGACACAAGTGCGCCGTTCCAAGCTGTTTTCCCAAACGCATGGCCTGTTTGAGAGGCGGGAACATCAAACACTTATCCTTCTTGTAAAAAAAATACCTTGTACCAGAGACACCTCCTGCCATGGATCTAATCTGCTCTGAGAATCAGCTTGGCAGTATTTCCTTACCAGATAATTTCCAGGCCTTTGTCTAGTTCTATTTCTATTTTAATTTAATACCTTTACTATGTTTTAATTTAACTAGAATTGAATAAAGCCTCCCTTTAACAAAGGTGTCAATTTTGACAGAACTGTCCGCTCAGACCTTTTTGTATTTCTAAAAATGGAATTTCCATAGTTCCAACAGAGATGTGTGTTTGGATTTGGCCCCGAGAGCCATCGGGGATCTCGGGGCGGCTCTGGGATGGGACGGAGCAGACAACCTGGGGTTGGACAAGCCAGGGTTGAGTTCCAGTTCTGCCCCTTTCTAGCTAGTTCACCTCTCGGAGCCTCAGTACAGTGGGAATTAACACCTACCTCTGCGAGTCGTTAGGAGGTATGGTGAAGTGCCTGGCACAGTCCCTGGTGTGTTGTTTTATCTGTGCACCAAACATTTATTGTGTAATACAGTGTGCCAGGCACTCCGCCGAAAGCTGAGGGTACGGTGACGAGCGCACACCCTCCGGTAGAGCCTGCAGGGTTACACACAAACGATCAAATTCCGGCAGATACCTGGCTAGACTGTGCTGTTTGAACTGCTGAAGAATCACTGCTCTTGGGTCCCTTCGGAACACGTGTGGGTTGGACACTGGGGGAAGAGAACTGGGCTGACTCTGGTTTGCTCGCCTGCTCATCTACGCGGCTGCCTGCCCGCTCGCGGGCTTATTTCGCAATGAACCAAATGAAAATCAGCAGGCAGAGCATCACAGACTGGTCCATGGTGACCCGAAGCCCTGCTCCCTTTTCCAACCAAAAATCGCAGTGCTTGGCGGAGCAGAGCTCCCTGATCAGCCTCCACAGGATCCGCTGGTGAAGCTTGCCCTGTTTCTCTTGGAACAGCTCCTCCTGGTTGGCAGCCTGGGTGGTGTTGATGCAGTTGGTGACAAACTTCTCCTTGGTCACGTTGGCCTCAGAGCAGCCGTTGTAGTGGATCCCGTCGGGGAACTGCCAATAGTTGGCCTCGTAGTACCTGTTGCCCTCAGGTCCAAAGTCAATATCCAGCTTCCGGCCTTGCTTGATGAAGGCCCCGGGGTGCCTCTGCACATCCATCTTTTGGGCCTCCGTGACCGGGGAGCTACTACTGGGCAGGGCCTTCCGGTTCCATTTGATTCTGTGCTTTATGCCTCTTGCCCTGACTGCAGCGACCTGGCTGAAGAGCAGGACGCAGACAATGGCCAACCAGCATCCACCCAGGCGCTTCCTCATTGTGTCCGAATCTGCAACAGCAAAGGATGGGGCAGTTCACTTCTCCAGTGGGGTTGCCAGCTCCCCTGCCCCCTCCCATGTGTAGATTTTAAACAAGGAATGGCATCCTTGCCCCATTTACATTTTCCCAGCAGCATAATTGTTTTCCCACGCTTAGGCTGCACAGGGTTAAGTCAATACCAAGTTTCTTGCATTCGCCTGGAACTATAGCCATTCAGGGCAGTGACCTTGGTTTTCTCAGACAGATAAGAAGCTGCAACTGGCAATTATAGAGCCTTTGAATGTGCATGGGAAAAGAAAAAGAGTAATGACTTAATACATACAGGTTTTCTTTGGTACTCTCAAATCTTCCAAATCAAGGGGTCTCTGGGAGGCAAAAACAGTAGAAGAGGTGAAATCAGAGGCTTCTGGGCATAGGCTCTATTTAAAAAGAGTAAATTTGTTAAACAATGTTAACATATGTATTAACTATATATATATATGGATCTCTATACATTGTTAGTCAGAGCAGCTTACAAAATGCATAAGCTCTATTTTTAATCTTCCCTCTTTATTCTCTACTGCTCTGAGCCGGCACTGTCCTGGGCACATTCTGCCATCTATTCTAAAATGTCAGCGGCTGCTGACTGTGAAGGCATTTAAGGCAGAGAGAGAGAGATGGGCTCAGGGCCAGGGGAGATGGGATGGGAGCGTAGGGAGGGTCCCCCGCCTCTCCCTCTGATCGCGAGTAATCTTTTTATGTTTCGCTTCTAGGGACAGTGTGACCCCATGAGCCTCCCCCAGATAGTTTCTTATCACACACGAGGTGTCAGCCACTGATATTGTCTAACTTCGTCTCTCATGGGATAGGCATAAGATCACCCCCATTTTATAAAAGCTGTGCTGGGAATCAGAAGTTAGGTGATTTGCCAAGGCTGCCCAATGACCGATTCCTACACTACTCCCACCACGCCCCCCTGCCCTTCTGGGCTGCGGGAGTGGATGGCGCTCAGATGTTGTGCTTCTGACTAACCGGGCATGAAGGGCAGCCCGATGGACCCTAAGCTGAGCAAAGAGTAGAACTTGGGAGACATTTCCAAGGACACGAAATGATGGAGAGGACAGGAGGGCCTTGGGGAACACTGAGGTGACCCTAGGGCTGCTGATGATGTCAGAGAATACCCCTCCCTTCCAGCCTCCCAAACCGGCATTTTGTCCCATCCGGCTCCTGAAGTTACAATAGTTATTGTGTAGTTCACCCGCCAAGGTCAACTGTTCGGGGCACTGAACACCTGGGCCTTTGTCTGTGCAGATCAGGGATGCAGGACGTCTCCTAGACGCGATTCACTGTGCGCCCGTAAGTGCCAGAGCCTCAGGAGGGTGAAAGGCTAGCACACCTGGCCCTCCACCCTCCACCACCCCGTTGCAGTATTCCTAGAAGTGCTTGGTGCACTTCTGTTAAAGTGTTCAGCTCTAGTGAGATGCTTGCTGGTTTTTATGTAGAGAAACATAAATGCAAAATGCAACCTAAGTGTACTTCCAGTTTCCTCTGGGCACCTACAAAGAGGCTTCTGCTGACCTCTCTTAACATGCAGGCGTCCCCTGGTCGCTGCCTGGGCGGGGCATGAATGTGCCCAGCAGCAGCCTGCGCACCCAGGCTGCCAGCACCCCAACCCTGACGGCCCCCTAATCTCAGTGAGCTCAGAGCAGCTTTCTCCAAACTGATTCAAGCAAACATTCATTAACCCCCTAAACCGGGGCCACACCCCATGCCATCAGCCCTTACTCCTTGGTAGGAGCAATCTCAAATAAGAATAATAACATCATTTACAGGTGCATCAGATTAAATAATAGCATAGAGACCTTGAGAAAGAAATGAGTCTTTTTTTCTAGGCAAGGGCTTAAAAGCAAGAGAAACCCCCCACCAGCCAACCCTGAAATAGCATTTTATCACAGCACCGAAACATAGGCACACACACACCTGGAATGACTAAATTCTCACAAGTGTCCCCAACTCACGTTCCATCCCACCAGGAAATGGGAGTCAATTAATCATTGCATGGTTTGCAGTCTGATGAGAAATGAGCAACCCGACTACAGAAATAGGGTTCCTGCACAAACTCTGCCCCCCCACCTACCTTGGGCTCCTTCTGGGAGTGTGCCTTTGGAGCCGCGGCCGGCAGCACTGTCCTCCAGCGCACCCTCTTGGCAGCCAGGCCTGCCCAGCTTTGTAGGAGCACAGAGGGAGTGGCATTTTGCTCCTCCCCAAATATGGCAGCCTTCCCTCCCCGGCAGGACCAATCAGGAGTTCCCAGGTGCTCCTTTGTCTTGAGTAGGATGGAGCTTCTCATCACTTTTTACTAATAAGCATCACATGAAGATCTTGATGAAGTTCAGCAAAACTTGAGAGTTGCCTCTTGTTTTATTCAGGTATTTATTTACTACTGCCAGTTGATTATAAAGGATACACATAAAGAGCCAGATGAAGAGGTGTAGAGGACAAGGTCTGCAAGCATCCAAATGCAGGAGCTCCCAGAGTTTGGGGTGCTCCACCCTCCTGGAATGTGGATGAGCTTTCCAACCTGGGAGCTCTTCGAACCCCACTGTGCTAGGACCTGGGGACAAACCAAGTGGTATAACAAGATGCTCCTATCCCCCCTCGACTCAGGAAGTTATAAGGTTTCAGAAGCGCTGTGTGAGGAATTGAGGATAAAGATCAAACACATATCACATGACAACTTCACAGATGGATGGCTGGATGGCTGAATGCATCCATCCAATGAGTCCAGGTGGGGCTATTTTTAAGACTAGTATTTTTAGAGGTGCCCTTTAGAATAGAAATGAGAAGTGTTAGAAGAGAAATGCTTTCCCATCAATATCTACAGCAGAGTGTGGTTTTGAAGGCCTTGCCGGTTATGCACTGTCTTGCACCTTAAGACCAGCCCCAGAGAGCAAAGGAGGCTTCACGGTGCACCCTTTGTGGGAAGGATCAGGTCAGGCCGAGGGGGCGTGTTCAGGTGGACCACGTGATGGGAAGCCTGAGCCGACAGGGCGTGAGGGGCCCCACTTCCACTGGGTGGTGGGAAAAGCAGAGCTAATAATGGTGGGTAGAAGGCCAGACCAGAGAACTGGGCTGCCAGGGTCATGGGGAGAGCTTGAACCACTGAATTCATCCAAAGGTCAGCAAGTTGATCTGTGGCCACCCAAGGGACCAAGACAGATGCAGATGAAGCTACCACTGTTTAAAGATGGTGGAGGCCAGGAGTGGGTTTCTCCAGTGCCTCTGTCTCTACCTGATGCCCGGTGCAGCTGGAGGGGAACTAGACAATCAGTCACTCCTGGCATAGGTGACCACCCCTTAGACAAAAGGGTCTTGCTCAGATGTCCCCATTACAACCATTACTGCAACTCAGAATCAAAAGTGAATGTAGAGGTGTATGGAAGGAGATTTGCCTGTAAATAAAGTAGGATCACCATCCTGAATGTAACATCATCTGGGTTCTTCAGGTTCGCTTTCAAGTGCCTTTGGGAACCAAATTAAACGGTTGCTTCCAGATTGACCAGCAGATGGCGCCAGAGGAGTTTACAAACACTTGGCCCTGGAGGTAGGAAATCCTCAACAAAGGCAAAGCTTCAGTCAGTGCTCCACTTGGATTTGGGGACCTCAGTTGGACCTTTTTTCTCCTCTGCCTTTACTTTCAAATTTTATTTCGTTTTACTCTTAAAAATCTTACTATTTATTTATTTATAAAGAGAAGGGAAGGGAAGGAGAAAGAGAGGGAGAGAAACGTGTGCGAGATTAATCAGTTGCCTCTCCCGCCCCACCACCAAGGACCTGGTCCGCATCCCAGGCATGTGCCCTGACGGGGAATCAAACCTGCGACCTTCCAGTTCACAGACAAGTGCTCAGTCCACTGAGCCACACCAGCCAAGGCAAAACTTTATTATTTTTATCTAGAATCATAGACTTTTGGTCTTGTGAACTCATGCACAAACACAGTAGTGCAGACTTGGGATAAACTTTGTAAAATGAAGAATAAAAGAGATCTCTTAATATTTCACTTTTCAGAGACAAGTGTCAGTTCAATTTTGTTCATTGCATAGATGCATAGGATCACAATTAGGGTTTGGGGTGTTCAGAGCTGGAAAGGATTCAGAACCCTCTAGCCCAGCTCCTTCACGCTGTGAGGTCATGGGACCCAGACAGGCGCAAGGTCACCCGGCCAGGCAAGCGGTGCAGTCCCTGCAGGCCCGTTGCTCTGTTCTGAACTGTGTGTACCGTTCAGCCGGCCCGTCCCCATCTGGTACTGTCACCTCCAGGCCGCCTCCGTCCCTTTCTTTCATCCCCTTCTGAGCAGGACTTTGCCCAGAACATCGTGGGAGGTTGGTTTAGAGCTGATGAGGCTGCAGATTCTTCTTGTCAGGGAACAAAAGGCTGTTCTCAGAGGCACAGAGGGGTGTGGAAGGCTGAAAATGCTCAGGAGAAGGGAGGAGCTCTGGAAGCTGCAAACCAGGCAAGAGAACTGTTCAGCAGATGATGCAGAGAGTACAGAACGGCTCCAGTCCCTCCAGCAAAGATCAACAAACAGCCAAGGAATTAGTGTGAGGACGCTCATCTCTTTAAATGAGCTCAGAGGTGAGGGCCCAGTGAATTGTGTCTTCTGGCATCAACAATTATATTAAAAATATACTTTAATGTTGATCATGTTTGTGAAAACAGGGAGAATGAGATTGATTCCACAGGGCTGGGTGTTCCAGGATGAAAAGAACCAATGTTATATTTCACACGAGTGTATGAACAATAGGAAATTATGTGGATTCACCAAAAAGGCAACAGGGAAAGGCTGAGGTCTAGGATGCATGAATGGGTCACTTTATACCATTTCCTGGTTTGATTAGGGGTTGGACCTTTGGAGAGCATTTATAAATAAATACAGTGATTGTTAAGCTACAATGCCAAACTGTACCAGAAGGGTTGGTGTGTGGGAAGATCACCCACCATACCTTGGTGTTTTGAAGATTTATCAAGAGTCTGTCATGTGCCTGGGACCATGATGTGCCAAGGAAGGCGGAGCATAGGGTGGGAAAAGGCAGCTGAAGGAGCTCCTGGCCTAATGGTAGAGAAATCATTGATATGTGTTTTGGAAAATAATATAATGCTTATTAGAAAGCTGTGTAGCTGTCTAAACAGCCATACTCATTTTTTCAAAGAAAGCTACACATATCCTAAGGGTGCCAAATATGTACTTTTACAAACTGAACACCCCCACGCAGCCTGCACCCAGATTAAGAAACTGAACATGACAGCACCCCCAAAGGCTCTGCATGTCACCGCTGGGTCACTGTCCCCTCCCCTATACTATTCTGACTCTTTCCACCATACGTTATTTTTGTCTGTTTTTGTACTTGACATACATGGAGTTACATGGAACCCAATCTTTTGTGTGTCTTGCTCAAATTACTTCTGTGAGGTGTCCCCACATTGTGTACAGTTGTAGGTTGTTCATTCCATTGCAAGACTATCCCACAACTGACATCTCTGTTTCCCTGTTGGTGGGTTTATGGGTGATTTCTGGCACAAACAGTGCTGCTGCGAACACTCTGGCACGTGCCTTTGGGTGGGTGTCTGGTTGCTTTTCTGCTGGATGTGCTCTCTGAGAGGTAGCCTTGCTGGCTCATAATTTATCAGGAACCCCTGGAGGCAGTGACTCGTCATGGGAGTCACTGAATGTTGGTGGGATGGGATGTTTGTAATTGAGAAGACAGAGAGCCATTGAAGATTTGGAGCAGGGGTAACAGGCTGAATATTGCGATTTCACTTGATCTGGAAGGAGTGGGCTGGGAAAGGGCAGACCCTAAGAAGGGCAGAGATGCCACACTTGGCCACTGGGTTGAAGTTCCTCATTCGGCCCCCCTCTTTTCTCATCATCTCTGATTTTTTTAAAAGCCTAATTAACCCGATCATTTGATCTGTGAGTTTCTTCTCTCCCTAATATGCATGAAAATGTCCAAAAGGAGAAAGGCCTTCCCCAGGGTGCGGGTACCTGTACTATGAGGGAAGGGCCAGCTACTGAGTCAGAGGCAGTGACCCCTTCATTACCCACAGTGGCTGTCATTCCAGGGGAGGCCCTGGGGCTGATGCAAAGATCGCTGGCACCAACCAGAGACCCAGGTTCTAATCTCCACCCAGGTTCTAATCTCTACCCTGCTTTTCTCTGCCTTGAGTGACTTTAGTTCTCATCTGTTAGAGGAGATCTTAGCCTTCTCTGTGACGTAGCTGCTCTGTCTCAGGCAGTAAAACATCTACTTAACATGTATCTTTGGGGAAGGTGGAAGTACCTCAGTTTTCACAACTGGACAGGAGGTATCATGTCCCCCACTACTTATAGGTCTTATCAAACATTGCTTGGCACTGTTGGAATCATAGACGTCGATACAAATGCTTCCCCCAAGATATTATAAGGGAAAGTAAGCTGCAGTCTAAAAGCTGTTTTGAGCACATGTTAATTACTCAAACATCTGCCAGAATTACTAGTGAAGGATTTACTATTGTGATGACAACTAGCAAAGGCTGAAGGCGTTTGTGCCAGAGGCTGGGTCTGTGATGGCTTCAGCCAGGAGGAAGGTTGGTGCATCATCAAGACAGGTCGCAGTCGGTGTGGAAAGTAGTGATCAAGTCCTAGAGCCAAACAACCTGGTAATGGCAGGGTCAGGTCGCTTGTTGGTATTAAAGTCTTCAGGGATGAGATCTAGCAGCAGATGGGAAGAGAGGACCCAACATTTTAAAGAAATGCTTTTATTGAAACATAACTAGCATGCAGAAAAGTGCACATACTGTAAGTGCACAACTCAATACAGTTTCACAAACTGAACAACCTTACGTAACCAGCAGAATATTTTAAAGCCTCATGCCTGGCTCCACCCACCCACAGGATACCTACTACCCTGAATTCTGATGCCCAGTACAGTTTCACCTGCTTTGTGTTTGTACAACTAGAATCATGCAATATGTGCTGTTCTGTGGCTGGCTTCTTCGGTTCATCATCGTATTTGTGAGCTTCATCAGCATTGTTGCCCAGAGGTGTTATTTTTCAGCTCTCATTCCTGTAAAATAGACCACATTTATTTATTGACTCATCACTTGATGAGCATTTGGGTTGTTTCCTGTTTGGGGCTATTATGAATATAATTGCTATAACAATTCTATTTTAAAAAATATTCTCACCCGAGGACATGCTTATTGATTTTAGAGAGAGGGGAAGGGAGGGAGAGAGAGAGGGAGATATTGAATGTGAGTGAGAAACAATGATCAGTTGCGTCTTACATGTGCCCCGACTAGAGACTGAACTTGCAGCCTGGATATGTGCCCTGACTGGGAATCAAACACACGACCTTTCAGTTTATGGAACAACCCTCCAACCAACTGAACCACACTGGCCAGGGCACTGTGAAAATTCTTACATACAGCTCTTGGTGAACATAGGCTCTCATTCTGTTGAGCAAATGCCAGGAGTGGAAATGCTGGGTCATTGAATAGGCATCTGTTTAGCTTTAATAAAAACTGCTCAAGTTTCCCAAAACTGTTCTTCCAACTTAGACTCCGCTGCGTGAGAGTGCTCCCGCGTCCTCCCCGCCCCCCTCCCCCCACCTGCTGCATGCTGACCCCTCGGTATTGGAGACCTCTTTTAATTTTTTAAATAAATGATGACAATAGTTTGCTAAGTTACAGTGAATCTGAGAGCAAAGATTAGGGGAGAGGAGGCCTAACTGTGTCCCATCAGCTGCAGGGGTTCCTACCCTGGAAGGGGCAGTCCGCGGATAGAATCTGGGAGATGCCTGAACTTGGCTAGGAAAAACGTCATCACGTCTCTATTTCCACTAGCCTCTGCCCGAAATACAGCCTTTTCTCCATGACGAAGGCCGGCAGCAGACACGGTAGCATTAGCCGCACCTGTGACCAGAACCCACTGGAGTCACAGATGTTTTCATGCCACATCACAGGCACGTGGCCAACCGTCCCAGTTTGCCAAGGACTGGGGGGTGGGGGTGGGGGTGGGGCTCCCCAGACACGGGATTTTTCACTGTTAGAATGGGAACATACGGGGCAAACCAGGACAAATTGGTCATTCCAGTTCCAGGTGATATGACTTACGCTTGTCATTATGAAATTATGGCAGTAGGTCCGGCGGGTCTTAGTGAGTTTTTAAATATTTAATCAGTGTAAGACTGCTTTGGATAACTATATTTTAGCATTTGGTTTCCTGTGTCACCTCTGCATTTTATTTTACGTATTTAAATACATTATTCTGAACCCTCGGGCGGGCGGCATCCGCGGCAGGAGTCCAGGCGCAGGGGGCCAGGCCGCAGGAGGGCGAGCCAGTGCGCGTGCGCGGCGGCGGCCTCCTAGGCAACCGGGAGCTTGGGGCCAGGCGAGGCCCAGCCTGGAGTGACAGCGGGACTTGTGGAGCGGCTACTGCGGCACTGCGGTTGGTAAGGCCGGCGGAGTGCTACCGACCTTCGCTGTGAAAGCGGTGACGGAGCTCAGTGAACTTCTCTCCAATGAAGGCCGAAACCTCTCTCCGTGGCCTTCAGGAATGTGGTTGGTGCCAGGCGATCTTCCTGAAGAGTCATCAGCAGCACTGAACAGAAAACCATGGCCGGTGGAAATCAAAAGAACTTGGAGAAAGTTAAAGCGTACTGGGAGAAGAAGAGTGAGAAGGAGCGGGAGACAGTGTGCCATGATGACAAGTTCCTGACCAACAACTGCACTGATTTCCAGTATGAGAGCAAGGTATTTTAGCTGAAGATGAAAGGCGATTGCCACCGCTACTTGGCAGAAGTAGCTTCTAGGGAGAAGAAAAACATGCGGTTGAAGCTTCTAGTGTGGGTGTTGACGCAGGACCTCTAAGCCGGGGAGCTACACTTGCGTTCGTGATATTCCAGAAAGACCACCAGGGGGACCAGAAGATGTGGACATGCCGTTTATTACTTGCATTACAGGGGAGTGCAGCGATGGTGGCAGATCAGGCAGGAGAGGTGGTGGCACCACCCCTCCAGCCTCAGTGCTACTTCTAGGGTTGGGGAGAGAGTAGCACGTGAAAATTCTACACTTCTGTGATGAACACAGGAGCCTTGGGACACAGGAACCTGGGAAGGGCTGGGACTTCCAGATACAGATTGTTTTCCTTGTTCCTTACGCTGGTGACTGGGCAGATGCCTGATCTCTGAAGTCATGAATGACTTCCTGAGTCATGGATGATGTCCTGAGTTACCCCACAGGACCTACAAGCAAGTCTTTGAAATCAGCAAGGGGCACATTAATCTTCTCCGCGTCCTGCCTCTTAGGCAAAGAAGCCTTGGATGATGCCTTAGCTGAGTGGGACTCACTAAATAAGGATTCCTATAAGCACTCCACGCTCATCATGCAGTTGTGAGATGACCTCACCTGCTGAGCAAGCGAACAGCAGAATGAAGCAGCAGGAGAAGGCAGTGGAAAAGCTTTTGGGTCCTTGGCCTGCCTTCGCTCTCCTTCTCCATGGTCACCAATTCTTCCTCACAACAAGCGCTAAATATCTAGTGTTGGACCTCCCTGTAGTGACAGCACAGCTCCCCGAAACTGCTCCCCTGCCCCTGGAAAGCAGCTTCAGATAAATCTTGATGGGCACTGCTAGACTGATGGTTGCTTTGAGCTCCCTTTTCAAATTGTGCAGACAAGTGACCTCTGAATGAGGCACTTTATTATGCCTGGTGATCTTTGTGAAATCCAGGTGAAGCAATGGGGAAGTTTAGAAAGAAAATTAGCTGAAACAGGCTACCATGATATTTAAAGTGAGCCTAGTATTTTGTTAAGGCGTACATCCTGTGCATGCAAAAATGAATTCACCCCTCCCACCGCTTTCTTCAGCTAATGAAAAACTGTTAAGGTAAGATGATAAAGAGACCACTTGCTCCTCTCCATCAGCTTTGTAATAAACTCTTAATGTGAGGTTTTGGTAGCACCTTGTTTTGCCTCTTTAAATTGTGACGTGCACAAACCTTCTTTTCAATGCCATGCATCTAAAGTTTTGCTACCTTAACTGTTTTGTTTTTGGTTGTGATTAAGAGTCACGGGTTTATTTTTTGTAACTCTTTGGCATTGCCCTTGTGTGTCCCAATGGTGCCATACGTGTCAGCCCATGTCAGTGAACATGGGTAATTATTGAGATGCCGGATTTCTAAATTAGATGTCTTGGAATTCAGTGGGTAAATAAATGTTTCTTTGGGGGGGAAAATCAACCAGCAACAAAACAAAACATTATTCTGAACAGGGTCCATAGTCTTCACTGGACTCACAAAAGGGTCCATGGCAGGGGTAGGCAATTTCAGCGGGGTCTTGATGTAAATATAGGAGTTTTTCAGGTGGAAAAGGGGTAGGGAAGACATTCCACATGGAGGAAAGAGCATGAGAAAAGGAATGGTGCACCTCAGGGTTGCCACTAAGGACAATAAGGTAAAGATTCATTATGTGCTTTAAGATACCTTTTAAAATTAGACTTAGGGAAATGACGGTAGTAAGCTATAACCGCTAATATTTGGGATCCGTGCAGCAGTCCCTTGGCTCAGTGTGTATAACGGCAGGGACCAGGCAGGGGTTGTCAGAGGGAAGCAGAGGTGGCGATCATGGTGGTGGCGATCATGGTGGTGGCAGTCTGCAGAGACGACTGCCCGGAAGGAAGACGACGAAGCCGGTTCTCGGTAGGAAGTAAGGCTGGGCAGGGGGTGCACCAGTGGAGGATTGGATTGCCACTGAGAGGACAATGGAGAGGAAGAGAGGGGGACAGCCCAGACGTTTGGTGTTCTGGATTTCTTTTACAACTACTTCTGCCCTGCCAGCTTTTCCATCTAACTGGGCTTGTGGCTGGGAAGGAAGGGCTAACACTACTGAACAATGCAGTCTCTTTTCCAGCCCCGAGAACAATCATCCCCCACTCCGGTGGGGTGGGGGACAGTGGGCGATTCATTCATTTGTCTCTGGTTGCTGTTGACAGACCACACCTACCTCCACCATGAACACCCCTGATTTCAAGGGCTGACCTGGTCCTCTTGCCCCTTCACTTTAGCTGCCATATGGAAACATCGGGGATTTTCCAACTGTACTTGAACTAGTGCCCCTCCCAGCTTCTCTGATCTCCTGACCTCCAGTGGAGGTGACACGCAGGTGTGAGCTGACACACAGGGAAGAAGGATCAGGTATAAACTCCGGGGCGGGGGGTGGGAACCAGATGGAAGGAGAACCAGGGCAGGGAGAGCCCAAATATCACGAGTGTGATTCAGCTGGGGAGTCCAGTTCTTAAAGGGTTCAGCTAGGACTCGAAATAGGGCAAGCAGGTCAAGGTGAGTAAGGCAGGAATGTAATTATGGGCAGTTCAGAAGCTGAGGCACCAGTGAAGGCCTCCATTTTTCAAGGCTTGGTATGCGTACTGCCCATTCTTGACAAAGACTTTGCTCATAGCAGGCCAGGGTATGTCCTCACTCATCTGTGTAACTTTGCTGTGAGGTGGGGAAGGAACTGACGCCGCTTCCTCCGCTGGGCAGACTAAGAAATGGGGAGAAATGCCTTCTCTGGGGCAAGGGGTAAAGTTTCCACCAGGTGGAAGTGAGTTGTTGAACTAGTATATGAGAGTAATTTGTAATCTACTAGACTTGTCACGGAAACTGTACATGAAGCAATTTCTCAGGATGTTCATTCATTCATTGATCCAAGACCCACAGTTTTGTTTGAGGAACCTTTGGTATCTAATGCTGAGAAAAGGGGGCTGAGTTTCTGCCACATCTGGGTAACAGGTTTGTTCGCCTGGGAACGATTCCATCAGCTCTTGATACCCGCTGGTCTTCTAGAACAATCGCAGGACAGGCAAACAGGTTTGGACTCAACGAGTCCGTGGTTACATACAGGGGTGGGCCAAGTAGTGTTACAGTTATAATGCCAACAAATAAAATAATAATACAAGAACCAACTCTGTGTTCTGTGCACTCACAACTGTAAACCTACTTTTGCCCACCCCTGTGTTGCTGTGCTCACCTTTTTAAAGGCCAAGAGTGTCACATTACATTTTCCAGCTTTCACTGATTTAGGCTTTGACTCTGTGGCCAGGAAAGCCTTATAAACGCAGTGGACACAAGGCTATCAGTGCTTCTGTGCATTTTCCTGGAACACCTGTGAGAAAAACGAGTGGGCAGAAATGTTTTTATAACAAATTAAATCTCAAACAATGCCTAACCCTTCCCCTACCCTCTCATCACTTCTATTATTAGGCAGGTTAATCTGCGCTTTAAACCAAAAAGCTTCGTTGAGATATAATTCACATTATCATGAGATTCACCATTTCGAAGGGTACAATTCGGTGATGTTTACTACATTCATAACGTTGTTCGTGGATCACCACTAACGCCAGAGTATCTTTATCACACGGGAAAGAAACCACAGGCCCATTAGCTGGCACTTCTCATTCCCCCCCGGTTCTCCAGCCCCTGGAAACCACAAATCTACTTCCTGTCTGTGTGGCCTAATCTGGGTATTCCATTTAAAGTGAATCATGCAATATTTACCTTTTTGTGTCTGGTTTCTCTCATTTAGCATCATGTTTTCAAGGTCCCTTCGTGTTGTGATATGGATCAGAACTTCATCCAGTCTCCTTATGCTTGAATGATACTGTCTGGTCTACGCCCTTCACCTTGGAGGACACACGTGCTCTTCCACTGGAGGTTATAGTTTTATTATCGCATGCTAGGAAATGCTGAATAAAAACACTTCTGCTGTCCAGCTCTGGCTGATGTGGCTCAGTGGACTGAGTGCTGGCCTGTGAACCAAAGGGTCATGGGTTTGATTCCCAGTCAGGGCATGTGCCTAGGTTGCAAGCTGGGTCCCTGGTTGAGGGTATGTGAGAGGCAACCTCACACTGATGTTTCCCTCCCTCTCTCCCTCCCTTCTCCTCTCTCTGGAAGTAAAAAAACCAAAACAAAACATAACAAACAAACAAAACCCAAACCACTTCCACTGTCTAGTTACTCTTCAGGTGATTATATCAAAGTCAAGGTGGTGGTTCCAGTGGGCATTTTCCATAACTTGGATGAACAGAGCCAAACAGCCAGTCCTCATTTATTCATTGAGTTCATTCCTAGCATGTGCTGCGGGAGGTAGCAGCCGAAGCCAGTGGATATCAGAAGTGCCGTAGTCACAATGGGCCTCTTCCGTGGCTGGCAGTGAAAAATCTTGCTCCTAAAATTCTCAAGGCTAAAAGCGATCTCTGGCAGACTTTATGGGGTGTGGTGGGTGGGGATCGGGGCTTGGCTGAGCAAGTAGTCATTCTTTTTTTCACTCATCACAGGGCAAAATGAAAGGAGATTCAGACATGCAGGAGAATGGGAAGTAGGGCATTGGCTAGAACAAGAAAATACAGCCTCCTTCCTTGTTGGGTTTGTTCTCTGGTCTGTGGGTCTTGACAATGGGCAAGGCCACCTGGCACAGCTGGGAGGGTCTGAAATCGGTGGGGCTTTCCTTGTTTGTTGGAGTTGGAGCTTTGGGAAGGCGAGCTGGGGCCATAGAGAAACCTGAGTGGACACATTCCATGTGTGGGCAGCTGCTGTGAGCAGGGTGATGGGCATGCATTCAGAATTTGGCAGCGAGGGATAGGAGCTTGCCAGCTTTCTGAAGCACCCACAAAATTACAGCTAACACTCATCTTTGTTAATTAACGCAATCTGTATAACTCAAAGCCAGGTGTGCCTGCAGTCTGCGTGTGTGGGAGGCACATTATTGGGTTTAGGTTTTTAGATTTTCCTGAGTATGAGCCAAAATAAATAAACTTGCTTGATCAAGACACTCTTCACTCTGCACCAGCCAGGGCGTGTGGTGGCTGGATTTCAGGTGCTGGACCCAGAATGGAAGCATTTGTTTGCTCCACCATGGGCACTGAGGTAGGCACCCCTGATGGTCCTACGTGGAGTGATGGGCAGTGGGTTAGCCTTTTGAGGACACAAAGTAACCCAGATGATGGCATTTTCTGCATGGGAGCCCTGGCAGAGTGTGAACGTGGTTCCCCACCAGGCACGCAGTCCAAGGAGTGTCTCTGCTCTGTGTTGGGAGTGACACTGCCGCCACATTTCTAGAGAGATGGTATTATGGGCTGAATCGTGTCCCCTCCAAGTTCTTGTTGCAGTCCTGGTCCCCGATACCTCAAAGTGACTCTATTTGGAGATTAGGGCTTGAAGAGTGAAAGTTAGAATGAGGTCGTTAGGGTGGGCCTTAATCCAACATGAGTGGTGTTCTTATAAAAAGGTTAGGACATGGAGACTCGTGGAGGGCAGAAGCCATGCGAAGACACAAGGGAGGAGAGGGGCCTCAAACCAATCCTGCCAACACCTGATCTCGGACTTCCAGCCTCCAGTGAGGAAATAAAAGTCTGCTGTTTAAGCCACCCAGTCTGTGGAACTCGGGCAGCCCTGACAAACTAAGAGATGCTGTCATCAGCAAGGAGGGCAATGAAAATGGGGTTCTGGAAGTTTCCCTGAAGTCACTGACTGGGTCAAGTAAGGGTGACTGGAAAATTGGTATCTTTGCCCAATAGAAAATTTAACATGATGACTCTGTATTTGTTTACAGCTAGTTTTTAGAGAGAGAGGGAGGGAAGAAAGGGGCAGATCTGCCCAGACAGTTAGGGGTCAAGGGGCCGCCCCAAGCACCCCGGCGGCCTCCAGACTGGGGGCTCCAGCAGGAGGTGGGCTGTGCTCCAGGGGCCACAACGGCAGACTCCACAGAGGATGGTCATCTCAGCTCCTGTTTAATTGTACTCGGATATTAAACATTTACAAATTTTTTATACAACAAAACAAGTACATGCAAAGTTACAAATATAGAAAATATAAAGTACATGCATATTTCAAAGACCACTTTGGATCCTTATACAAAACTATTCAGTGCACATTGTAAGCCTAAGGACCACACAGAAGGGTTTCCCACATATTACATATTTAGTACCTTACGAAACAGATAGTGAGTGTAGCAGATACCCCGGATATTAACTGCTCTAATCAAAATTTCATTTGTCATGTGCACTATGTATTTATATATATGTTGGGTTTTTTTTACATTGAATACCCACACACGTCCAAGCCAATCACATTGCAGAATAATAACAGAGATCTGCTAGGTGACAATATTGAACAATCCAAGGAGTAATTTTACTGTATTTAAATAACAAAAACAGAATTTCTTTTTCCACTCTGAACAGATCATTTTTCTGTCATCTCCAGCCTAACATGTTTTTTCTTTTCTTTTTTTTTGAAATCTCTATTCTTCCATTCAAAAGCCAATTACAGAGACGAAGGACTCAATCTAATTCTGTTTTTTGACAATTATGAGATAGCTATGAAGAAATGCAAGGGCTTCTTTGTATACTAATCATTTTCTTCATTGTGTCATCTTCTGATACTGGTGTTTTTGCAGCTGCAGCTTCCCCTATATTAAAATCTGGTTTCACCCAATGTCAAAATCATTCTTGTTTCCAGATAAATGAACACTGGAGATTTGTCCTCAGTGTCCAGAAGGTAATTTAATTTGTAACTGCTTTAATTATCTACAGTTTATGTTAGTAAACAAAGGAGTGCGACGTGCAGGTGCCCTCCGAGGGCACCACTCCCAAACGTTGGACAGTTGTAGCCCCAGAAGCCTCTCATGTTAGTTAGGTTCATGCCCTATGAAACCGTCCTCTGCCCAGAGGTCTAACGTTGCATGAATATTCATGCTTGATGCAATAGCTGCTGTGTGGCCTGCGCTGCAAAATGCAAAACACTGTCCCAGTTCTCTGCAGACACAGGCACCCATTCTCCAGCAGGCTGAGCCTGGGCCCAAGAGCTGAGGATTCGTAGTTTTGTTTTGTGAATGAGTGTCCTTCCAAACTGGGCAGAAGTGTTGTTTAAACACATAAATGCAGTCAGGTTTCCTTAAAACGAATGAGAAAATGTGTCCACATTGCTAACAAAGCACTGCTAACTACGACAGAGTGTTAGTGTGCTGAGCTCTCGCAGAGCCAGGGGTATGTAGGCAAAGGCATTTGAGGACCGTTTGGGGATTATTTAGTCTCGATCTGTTGCACTAGAGAAAAAATAAGCCTAGATCATGGAATGATGATTTGCTGTTACCCCCTTACCAGCCCAGCACTTGCAATGGCCCACGAAGGACCCAATCAAATGGGCTTGACTACTCAGCCTGCCAGGCCTGCTCTGCATTTCCCTGTGGCTTCGGGGCCAAGAGGATTAGCCTACGGGTGACAAAGGGAGAAGCGAGAATGAGACACTGCCACTAAAGAGCTGCAGGTGGATAGATACCCCCTCCCCCAACCTGCTAAAGGACGAGGATGGTGGAAACAGAAAGCTGCCCTCATCCCACGACCAGGAAAATGAGGACAGAGAGGAGGAGGATCACAGGAGGCGGGGAGAAGAGGCCCACGCTCGCCCCTCTCTGGTAAGCCTGGTACTCTCTCTGGTACTGGACGGTGCACATCTCCTCCACTACACGCTCCATTATCTTGATGTCAGTCGAGGTGAAGTTCTCCCCCTTGGTGGTGGTGGTGACTGTGTGCTCCTTGACTGTGATGTTGACGCAGTCACGCACGAAGTTGTTCTGGTTGCTGTACTGATCCACAGGCCTGTAGTACACTTGGTTGGGGAAACGGTTCATGTTTTCACGGTAGTACCGGTCCTCATAGTCATTGCCAAAATGTATGAGGGGCCTGCTCATAGCACTCCCCAGCATATAGCCGCCCAGGCCCCCCACCACGGCCCCAGCTGCCGCAGCTCCTGCCACGTGCTTCATGTTGGTTTTCGGCTTACTGGGTTTCCCACCATAGGGCTGTCCCCAGCCTCCGCCACCATGGGGCTGTCCCCAGCCTCCACCACCATGGGGCTGACCCCAGCCGCCACCACCATGGGGCTGACCCCAGCCGCCACCATGGGGCTGACCCCAGCCGCCACCGTGGGGCTGACCCCAGCTGCCACCGTGGGGCTGACCCCAGCTACCACCACCCTGGGGTGGGTAGCGGTTGCCTCCACTGCTGCCTCCTCCTCCAGGCTTTGGTCGCTTCTTGCAGAGGCCCACGTCACTCCATGTGGCCACAAAGAGAACCAGGATCCAGCCGCCTACATGGCTTTTCACCATGATGACTTATCTGCAAAATGAAGAAGGTTTCAGAGTACAGTGTCTGTGTTGAAACCACTTAAGTTTTGCTCCATAACAAATAAATGCAGAGCAGCGGCATCAGCACCTTGGTTAAAAATGCTCTTCACTCTGCACTTCTCCTTTGCAGCACTTGCGACGGAAGTAGCTGTTCAGTAAAGGGTTAACACAATGCTTCCTCACTAAGGACAAATTGACCTTAGGACAATCTCTGGCTGTTTCCTGGAAACTTGATAAAGGTGCAATGCCAGCCACATTGCTTATGGTAAAAATAACCTGACTTATAAATTGCAACCAGACTGGGAAACCTACAAACATTTGGTGGGTTTGCCATCAGTTTGGACTTTAGACCAGTGATCCTTGCACTTGGCACATCAGACCAGTGATCCTTGCACTTGGCACATCTGTGTGGGGACCCTGGAAGCTGTGCCCATCAGGCTGTTATAAGTGACACTGGCTCATGTGGGGCCTGGGACCTCTACGTCAAGGGAAACCTGATACCCACTCGCATCAATCTCATGCCCTTGAACCTCAGCAGTCACTGTGGGGCCTGGGGTGGACACATGTCACCAGCTGCTGTATGGACCACAATGACCCTGGTGTGGCATCTGTGGAAGTCTTGTGAGTCTAATGTCTAGTTAGGAAGACTCCCAGGTGGGTGCTGCCGTAATGAAATAACTTTGCAAATAGTTGCTTCCTGTCTTTTCTTTGTGAGGATGTAACAAATCTCTTGTTTGCTGCTATTTCTTTAGGGTCTAGGGTGTGCCTGGC